TTAAGCTGTCAGTGGTGCGATCCCCTTTAACAGATAAACTGACGTCAGGCACATGGGGTAACCTGCTTCCGGTGACACCGTTCGAGGGGCGGCAGAGCTAAGCTGGAACCCAGGTCCGTCTACAAAGCACTGTTACTGAGAAAATGTTAAAGCCTTTTACCCCAAACTAGGATTTATATACCTATATTTAAAGACAGCAAAAACATTACTGAAATGGGATACTCAGTCATATATGCATCGGTACACTAAATTATTAATTAATACCTTAGCAAAAGTTTCTAAAGTTTCTCAGAAAAGTGTTCACCACAGCACGTGGGCCTGGTACGGACGGGAAGCCACCTTAAAAACGGAAGGTGAGGAACGACGTGCTGCGGGCGGAAAGGGCTGCTGGGCACAGGCCACGCCGAGACCAGGCGTTTCTCTGAAAGCTACTGTGAAAATAAAAAAGCATATATTTGCTCACTGATGAAAGGTCTTTTAAAGTGATATTTTTCCCCAAAAGGTCAAGAAGCTGTAGGTGAGGCTCAAACTATTTGCTGAAAATTTAGCACACGAAACTCTCTAAAGGGAGATAGTAACTGCGCATAAATAACAGTATCATCTGTGACAAATTAACAATTACAAGCTCCATCAATCCCTAAACTTAATAGGAATACGTTATTTAGTTGTTGGGTCAGGGGACATTCTGCCCTTGGGATAACACTAAAACTAAGTATATCCAGTACTGGGTTAGATTTTTCTGCCTTCTTTAAAATGTCTTAGAATTGTTTAATGGTATAAAAATCCAATTCTTATAAAGTCATTTATTTACGATCTAAGGAAACCATTCTCCATCCAGTGTTCTTAGAAGAATTTTTATAACAAACATTAAATAACCTACATTTTATATTTTCATATGTCAAGTATCACCAAAAACAATATGGTGAAGGGTTATCATTGACTACAAAGTCACTCAGTATGCACTTTTTGTTGTCCTTGTAAAATGTGTGTAAGCACAAGGTTGAATAATTGAAAAGATATTGAAAAGCTTGGTCAGTTAGCATTTAGATGAAAATAAAGACAGGTTCCAACCAAAACTCTTTAAATGAAAACACATTTCAAATAAATAAAGATGAAAATATGAAAACCAACATTTAAACACCGACAGGAAATAAACATATATGATTAACAAAAAACAAAACAAAATCGTAAGCACCTCATAGCATTTAGAGGCCACAGGAAGAGACTTAAAAATCTGACTACAGTGGTACCAATGTTCACCTCTTAGTTTTAACAAACCATGTACTATGGTTATATGAGCTGTTAACACTGGGAGATCCTGGGTGAAGGATCTGTATAATCTTTGTGATTTTTCTGTAAATCTAACATTATTGCACAATTAAAAGTTTTTTTAAAATCTAGCTAATTTTTTAAAATTCTGAAAAAAATTCCATGGACAAAATCAAAATAGAAATGATGGTCTTTCTTTAATATGCAAAAAGTTCTCACATATCAGTAAGAAAAAGACAGAATTACCCAACAGGAAACAAAAGCAAGCATTTTACCAAGGAACCCCAAACGATCAGTGAACCATAAGGAAGAATGTCCAATCTCACCCAAGTAAAATACAAAAAATTTAAATGAGGACAACTTTCAAAGAACTAAATTTTAAATTCTACTTCTTAGAATTTATTCAACATAGACTTGCACAAGTATAGAAAGGGGTCTATTTATAGATTCCACAATTAATTTTGCTTCAAGTCACTCCATAAAAGGACCAAACAAAACCTAGAAAGACTTTAAACGCATATTAATAATAGGAACTTAAGATAAATGTGAGAGCATCACTTGGGTACATATACACAATAAAGTAACAGGCAGCCACTGGAAAAAACGGCGCTATCCAAATCATGATGTTAATGGCACAGTCTCTAACGCAAATTACCATAATTTACTGTAAATTGTGTTTCAAGACTTTTTCCATATGAACACAATACCCACACTGAGTGGAAAGATTTCTGAATTCATTTGTCACAATTTCTGTTTATCAGCATCCACAGTATAGTAAAATTTCAGTATGCCCAACTTCCACATTTAATTCTAAATTCTGAATATCTGGAAAGAGATGAAGCTCTGAGAGCAGAAACATGTCATCCAAATAGGAGCCAACTATTCAGAAGACACTCCGAGGATGTCTAAGTAAGCAGCAGGAAGGTCCTGGTTGATGAGGCAAATTAAAACTAAACTGGGATCTTCTGTAAGCCAATTGATTTAAATTAATTTCTCTGAAATATACCCAGTGTGAAAAATAACTTTAATGTGTTAAGTGTTAATCTAAGATTCGAAGAAAAAGTGCTGTGATACACAGGCTAATCACAGAATTACAGGTTTCCAGAACAAGTTTCACAGAAACTGTATATTCACCTTAGAATTAACTACTCCTGAGATTACTTGATCTTAACAAACCCCAACTAAAATTTCATCAGTTTTTAGGAGGCAACATCAAAGCCCTTTATTTAAAACTCCCATATCTGCACCATTTTTTTTTAAAGCGACACTTAAGATGGTCAGCATGGTTTACATATGTTTATCAATCCCAGATGCACTGACTGAAGGAAGATTATAGCTTAATTAAAGCCCTAGCAGGGTCAGTAATGTTCACATGCAAGATGTTTCCACAGAGTGCCACTTGGGTACAGTCAATTAAAATGCACCATGAATTGTTAAATGGAAAAATCCAGAACAGGGAGCTCATTTTTGCACTAAAGATTCTTGCATGCATTAAGAGGTTAATTTATATTTTATTCTGATGCATGCATATAAAAGTCATATTTATATCAGATATTCATAGCTTACTTAGATGATTGATATCAATTTCTCTTCATAATATGACCAGCAAATAAAACACACGGCGGTTCTAATATAAAGAAATAACATGTGACAAGGTTCCCTGAAACATTTCTATTTTGGACCTCACAAGCTAAATTGCTTTTGCTGGCCCCTTCCACCTCTCAGCATGGTTGACAGACAAATTGATCGAAACATTGGAAAATAATATGCTTGCAAAATTTCTCTGGGTGAGTTTTCAGTCTTTTGAATTTTTCATACAAGAACAAAATGAAAGATTGCCTTCTTGATTTTTCCTCCATTATGCGGCCCCGTCTTATGTACTACAGGAACATACCATACTTCAAACAGCAGCCATACGTTGTAAACAAAATGTGTAACATTTTTCATGAAACACGCAAGCTCTGTGAAGTTCGGAGACTGGGTAGCAGGCATCTTTGCCCGGCAGATTATGTTGTTCGATTATAATGAATTCATATATTTCAAGTTGCCTTAGGCCCTCTCATTAGACTTAGGGTGTTTATGATATAGGACATGTTGCCTGTATCATTTAAGAAGGAAGAAGGCCGGGTGATCTGATTAGCAATGTTGACAGTTGAGGTGTGCAGAGAATATGTCATTCACTCAGGGGCTCCACCTGCAATATTAGGATCCTTCGTTTTTTATGACTTCTTTAAAGCCCTCTTTGAACTGCAGGAATACGGAACCAAGAAGAACTTTCTCTAGTGCATGCTATATACACTAACGGCAGACCCTGGTTTCTATTCGACTTGTTACTCTGAAGTGTATCAACGCCATTTCACAGGCAAAGAGGCAATCTCACACAAATTTAACTCCCAATTATGCTCAGTCTCACATAAAGAATGCAAGGAAAACCCCAAAATATTACCTCAACAGACCTTGTCTACCACTCAACAACCATAACTGCCTCCACTTACTGTTCTTCAGACACCCCAGGCCCTCAGGCCCTTATAGAATTTTTAAATTAATGTCTACAGTATTACAGGATAGGCAGAATCCTCATACATTTAAATTTACACCTCATGAAAATTCCTATTAACTAAATTTTTTCCTCAATACTTGCAGGTCAAGAATCGATGAATAGTCAATTTTTTTCAGTCAAAATTAAAACAAATCATAAAAAATGGCGTAATTCTCAGCATTGCAGATTAGATTTAGTAGGTAATATCTGCCAGATATGAAAAACAGAACTCATTATGTGGCACTAAAATAATTTTCACTGCAGTATTTTTATTTCACTTCATCAGCTTCACCAGTTTTGATAAGTTCACTACAATATTTCACAAAATAACTTGGTTTGAAAATAGACTTCGTAGGTCCCAGTCCTGATGACTGGGACGTGCCTTGTGACACGTGGGGATGGACCATGGCAGGAGGCCCAGGTGAGCTGGCCCCGGATCTGCGGAATATTTGGCAACGCAGCTCAGTCAGCGTCCCCAGAGCTGTGGAATAATTGGCGACACAGCTCAGTCAGCCTCATGGACTTGTGACTTGTAAGCACCCAACGGCACTGGGTCCTGCTGACTTGGAGAGCTGCACCAACAAAAGCCCTGGATTTCTTCAACAACAAAAGTCTTAGTTAAGAAATACAAATTGTCCGGGCACAGTGGCTCACACCTGTAATCCAAGCACTTTGGGATGCCGAGGTGGGCAGATCACAAGGCTAGGAGATTGAGACCATCCTGGCCAACACGGTGAAACTCCATGTCTACTAAAATATAAAAATTAGCTGGGCATGGTGGTACATGCCTGTAATCCCAGCTACTCGGGAGGCTGAGGCAGGAGAATCGCTTGTACCCAGGAGGCAGAAGGTGCAGAGAGCTGAGATCATGCCATTGCACTCCAGCCTGGCAACACAGTAAGACTTCATCTCAAAAAAAAAAAAAAAAATACACACACACACACACACACACACACACACACACAGGAACATAACAGCCTTTTATTCCTACTCAAAGCCTTTGCACTTACTTGGATTCTGGTTTAATGATTAGTTGATGAGAACGGACCAATACCAGTGTTCAAAAATGTGGACACCCTGCTGCTGCCACACATGTGAGGGTCTGCGGAGGGTGGTGTGGCCACGGCCGATGGAGAGAACTTGGCAAAGGGAAGTGGAACTGTCTCCCTGCACGGACAAAAGATGTATCTTAGCTTAGGCTGCAGAGTCAGTCCACACTCAAGTATGGAGGGCAAGCCATGTGCAGGCGGCCAAGGAAACAGAATTCTCCTGATGAAATCAAAAGGAAAACCAATGTGTTGGTGGCTCTGAAGGCAAAAAGAAATTTACAACCTGCAGGCACGCCCCCATCATCCCAACACCTATAAGGCCATGTGTGCTTGTTGAGAACATGTCCTACAAAGGGATACCCGTGTGTCTGAAGAGGCACCGCAGAGACAGCTCTCCCCAGGCTCAATCTTCGGTTCCTCCTGTGTCCTCCCTGATGTATGGGGCACAGGGCCAGGAGGCAAAAGAGTGTTTCTTTAATGAGTCTGCAACCCGCCAGGGCTATGAGGGACTGGCCCACAATCACGGTTCCCTCACTGCTGGGACTCCGGGCATCACCCAAGTCAGGCCTGGGGAAGAGCCCAGGAGGCTGAGGTTCTCTGTAATACCAGGCAAAGCTGGGCAACAGCAGGGGCCGTCCCAGCATGCCAGGAGGAAGGGGCCCTGATTTAGGAATATCTTCTGGAAGACCAGTCTTTAGTGTGGATGACAAATGAACTCATTACGATGTGAACCTGAGAGGGCAGTGGACCCGAGGACAAGGCTGTGCTGGGTTCGCCTGAGCCACCTGCAGGCTCCCAGCAAACAGGATGACACCACCAAGTACCATTATCACTATTTCCATCGCCACTACCTCCCTGCCCCCACCACCACCTCAGAAAACCAATTTCAGCATCCATGGGCCAGAGTCCGGCCAGGTGTTTTATGTCTATCATCACATCTGAACCTGTGAGCCAGGCATGAGAGTCCCGCTTTAGCAGAGGAGGAAGTCACAGCTCACAAGTTCAACAGCTGAGGTAACCTTCCAGAGCCCATAAGTGGCAGAGCTGGAGAGTGGGCCCCATGGCCTGACGCTGAAGCCCATCATCGCATACCCTATGCGGACACGAACAGGCTGGAAGACATTAGCCAGGCTTGCCTCACACCATCATAAAAGAATACAAAAGCCCAATGTGCGAGATGGCCCATGAAAGGCTGCTCCTGTATTCTCATGCAAGAAACAGCGTATTCCGTTTTGAAAACCTGGATTCCAGAAATGTACTTCAATCCACAGAATAAGGACAGGACCACCAGAGCTGCTGCAGCTCTGGAAGAACTGGCCGGCACTGGTGGCTGCAGTCAGGAGGGGGCGGGAACGAGGGGCTGGGGTGGGCAGGAGAGCCAGGACCACGGCCAGCTCCACTATCCTACCCCAGAAACCCCAGCCCTCCAGGCCCACAGGGGCTGTCAAAGGGAGCAGCTCCACGAACTCACCCCAGAGGGGTCCAGAGACTGAAGACTTTAAAAGAGATTTTATCATTTTTTTCTTAATTCAGCCTATAAGAATTGGTCATCAATGATATATTTCTAAAATGTCTCCCAAGCACCTCTATTGTGTGTGTGTGGTGGCTTTTTTTTTTTACTATCATATAATCAAGTTTTGGACCAAGATCATTTTTTTTAACTTGGAATAGAGTACAGCAGAAGCTCTTTGGTGTCCTCTTTGGAAATGTCTGACTGGTCCTTGCCTCTCAAATACCAGAACATTTGTCCCTGTGCAGGGCTTCTTGAGAGCTCCCAACAGGGAGGAATGCAGGCACAAGGGGACCCCCTAGGCCCCCGTGGCACCACCGCTGTCCTGCCCCAGGCCCCCATGGCACCGCCACTGTCCTCCCCACACCCCCGTGGCACCGCCACTGTCCTCCCCACAGTCCTCCCCACACCCCCGTGGCACCGCCACTGTCCTCCCCACACTGTCCTCCCCACACCCCTGTGGCACGACCACTGTCCTCCCCACACCCCCGTGGCACCGCCACTGTCCTCCCCACACTGTCCTCCCCACACCCCCGTGGCATGACCACTGTCCTCCCCACATCCCCGTGGCACCACCACTGTCCTCCCCACACCCCCGTGGCACCGCCACTGTCCTCCCCACACCCCCGTGGCACCACCACTGTCCTCCCCACACCCCCGTGGCACTGCCACTGTCCTCCCCACACCCCCGTGGCACCGCCACTGTCCTCCCCACATCCCTGTGGCACTTCCACTGTCCTGCCCCAGGCCCCCATGGCACCACCACTGTCCTGAGCTGTAAACCTGCTCCCCTGTCAGGACAGCACCAGAATGGTCCTTTACATCTTGGGAATAGCATCATCATCGCAGTCCTTTAAAAAGCAGTGGAACCCTGAAGTGAAGGCAGGAGGCCTGGAGGACTCTGGTTCCAAGCCTCCAATTAAAGTGAGCTGAATGTGAGGTCGACACACAGAAAGCCGGGCTGTCTCAGCCCTTTCCTGGTTTCTGTACCTTGTAATGACTGGTTTGCATTTAAAGCATATTTCTCTGAATTGTTTATTTTGTTTTTAATGTCCCTTAAAGTGCAACACTGCCTAATATCTTATAAAAGCTATGATGGAAACAGTAGCATTCTTAAGTTAGGAGTGACAAATCCGGGAAAACCTCTACAATTTGGCTTCCATATCTCTGAATTGGTATTTCAATGACAGATGTTTGTTGCGGCAAAAACCTCTGTCAGAACAAAATTAGGTGATCTGTCATTTTAAGATATGGTCTTCATATACTGTTTACTCGAAGATATCACTTGCCTCAAGCCAATTTTGACCAAGAACATTTTGTGATATGGAAGTGATTTGTATATCATCATTTTTGTGATAAATGTAGCTCTTGAACACAAAATAACCTACCATTCCACAGTATTACAGTTAAAACTCCTACACCAGTAAATCTGTACCAGTGCTTTTATTACTACTAAGATACTGTATCCAGACTCCAGGAGCGTTTTTTTCCCCCTTGAATAAGGTTGCTACTTCCCTGCCTTCTGGCCAGAGCTGGGATTTTTCAATCCACTGCTGGGGAACCCTGAACCCCATGATTTTCCTGCTCTTGAATCTTCTTAGGGTGATGGCTCTTTCTCACCAGGAGCCCTCCCAGGATTTCCACGATGCTCTGTGGCACTTGCCAGGCTACCCACAGCCCTCTAGCATCACGAGTTGTGGCCAATGAGGCCACTGGCTCTCTGGTGGGGTCTGTTCTGCTGGGTCTGTGATGCGGACACAGGATAGGGGTGGGAGGCGAGGAGCAGTCATTCTTCTGGGGACAGACAATGCCCCTCAGAGCTGAGAGCTATTTTCCCAGGTGGCTGAGAGAGGTGGAGGGGACAGGCCGAAGGCCGGATGGGACCAGCTGGCGACCACCCACCCAGGCTGGAGGCAGTGGGGGCCTGCAGGAGGCAGAAGCACAGAGGCGTTTGTTTCCGGTGAAGAAGGAAAACAAAGCGGCTCTGGGATCCCTTTTCCGTGTTTCTAAAATGGAAACACTTAAAAACACGTGATGCCTCAGGGAGCCCGGGCATCAAGGTGAAAACTCCGGTGATGTGACAGGGACAGGCAGCATTTGTAACAGTAACGTGTCACCCGCCAAGCAGAGAGAGATGGCACTTCCTGGGTATCCATCTCCACTGATGACGGATTGCTCACTGGCCACTCAGGCTCACTGCTCCGAAACGAAGACCCGTGCTAGGGCCTGTGTTCGCCACGGGCCCCCAGCCTGCGGCTCTGCACAAACACGGGCTTCCTGCAGCTCTGCTGTGCCATCGGAGGGACCCTGGGGCGGAGCCGAGGAATACCAACGTCATACGGCCTCCGAGAGAGAACTCCCAGACCCCCCCAATGGCACCTGAACCTGAGCGGGCCTCAACGAGATCCAGCCAAAGACCAACAGTGACACACGAGAGCACGAAAATCCCACGGGCAAAGGGGTATGTGCAGGAACGGGAGGGATGCCGCGGCCTTCAGGGCAACACCTCTGCAGGATGACCGTGGGCCCTCCGCAGAGACAGAGAACGAGAAGCTGGGCAAGGAAGTCGGAGAGAACAGTGAGCTCTGGGCAGGTGTCGTCCTTGGGACGCTGAGGCCTGGAAGAGACAGAGGGTCCAGGCAAAGCCAGGGTATATCCACCCAGCCCACTATGGCCAAATCAGAGGAGGCAGCTCGGTTTGCAATCCCAGGGCCAGAGCACCAGCTCCGAGCAAGCACCCCTGCGGCAGTGTGGTGGGGTGAAACGGTCGGAGCTCTACTTTGCCTCTGCCCAAGGCTTGCGCTCGGCTGGCAGGAGTTCTGTGTCCCCCGAGCCCCTGGCACCCAGACAGCTGAGAAGCAGGCTGGGGACCCAGCTCTCCATTCCCGCTGAGACCAGGCAGAGGAAAGCAGAGCCTAGGGAATCCAGGAACGCTGCTCTGGCAACTCCCCAGCCCTGGAGAGCTGGTCCCACCAGCAGGTGGCCAGGCCATGTGTGACTGACCAGAGCTGAGGAAGGAACAGAGTTGGTTTACAAAGTGGCCTATGAATCTGAACCAGGACAGAGCTCAGGCCTGTGGCTCCGGCCTGCCTGGGGCCCGGATCACTGTGTCTTCCGCTCCCTGGCAGGGATCACTCTAACCTCAAGACGCTGGGGTCCAAACCCCCCTGGAAAAGCAAGAGGTCCCAGGGGGACTGAGGGGTCTTCCGGGTGGTGGCATTTCAATGCTCTACAGCACAAAATGAACTGCTTCAAATAACACCTGATCATCAACAGTTCAGGATCTCACAGCAGGGCCGTTAATCCACGGAGCGACTGGGTGCTGGGGTCCTCTCCATACACCACCTTCAGATGCTGTCGGGCTGTGGCAAGTGAACACAGGCTGTTCCCATCAGACTCTCACACGGCTCCTGTTACAGGTGCGTGTGTGCACACTGTGTAATTAGGGAGGTGTCTGCCACACCCAGAGCAACAAGAAATTATAGTGAAGCATAACGACTACTAAATTTCAATATTTTACATTCATTTTCAATATATTTTTCTTTCAGCCACAAGACAGGAACAGTTGAAACATACTGTAGCATATTCATCATTCAACAAGATATATTACAACACTCGTCAAAGAGGCTGAGGGGTCCACACACCAATATTAGATTTTTCTAACATATCTACTGCATATTATTCAAAGGGATGCTTTCACAGCCTTGTAGATCAGTTCAGAGGGTAGATTGTGTCTTTCACTATTTTTTTTTTTTTACTGTCTTTTACCTGCCAGTAGCTCAAGGTACCTATAATTCTTTAAGTTCCATGTGTCCGTGGAAATGACACCACATTGGGACATGGCTCTCGGTCATTCTGCAGCTGCACAGGCTGTTTTGGTAGCGGGCCCCACACAAGGAGCAGGCTTCTGTCCTGCCGACCCAGCCCCACCGCGCACTACCCACAGAGCCCGGCTAGAAGCTGCCCTTTCACCTTCCCAAGAAGGCAGAATGTGCCTGTCGCAAGTCAAGGGCCCTCCATCTTTTTTTATGAAGGCCTTAATCTGCTGAGGGAAAGAGGAGGCCGCCTGCAGATGAGTGACAACCTGTTTATGGCACTGTTGCCAGCACCTTGCTGGAGGAAGGGACCTCGCAGGCAGTGGCCATCAGTGGACACTGGGAGGGGCGGTTCCACCCAGGGTCTGCCCGGGGAACTGTCCTGAGACAGACTTCCTAGAAGAGCCAGGCCCAGAAAAGAGGCTGAGGGGCGCGTGGGAGGAAGAGATACAGAAGGGGAAGGGGAAGAAAAACAGGGGGAGAGGGAGGACCAGAAGGACCGGAGGGGGAGGAAGGGGAGGAGGAGGAAGAGGAAGACGAAAAAGTGGAGGAGGAAGGGGAGGAGAGGGAGGAAGGGGAGGAGGAGGAAGAGGAAGACGAAAAAGCGGAGGAGGAAGGGGAGGAGAGGAAGGTAAGGAGGAAGAAGAAGGGGAGAAGGATGAGGAAGGGGGTGAAGGGGAGGAAGGGGAGGGGGAAGGAGAGAAAGGGAAGGAGGAGGAGGAGGAGGAAGGGGAGGAGGAGCAGGAAGAGGAGGAGGAGGAGGAGGAGGAGGAAGGGGAGGGGGAGCAGGAAGAGGAGGAGGAGGAGGAAAGGGAGGAGGAAGAAGAAGGGGAGGAGGCGGAGGAGGAGGAAGAAGAGGAGGAGGCGGAAAGGGAGGAGGAGGAAGAAGGGGAGGAGGACAAGGAGGAAGAAGGGGAGGAGGAGAAGGAGGAGGAAGGGAAGGAGGAAGGGGAGGAGGAGGAGAAGGAGGAAGGGGAGGAGAGGAGGAAGGGGAGGAGAGGAAGGTAAGGAGGAAGAATAAGAAGGGGAAAAGGAGGAAGGAGGAGGAGGAGGAGGAAGGGAAGGAGGAGGAGGATGAGAGAGGGAGCGAAGGGGAGGAGGAGGAGGAGGAAGAAGAGGAAGGGGAGGAGGAGGAAGAGGAGGAAGGGGAGGAGGAGGAGGAGGAAGAGGAGGAAGGGGAGGAGGAGGAGGAAGAGGAAAGGGACGAGCAGGGAGGGGAGAAAGAAGGGGAGGAGGTCACTTGCAGAACAGAAAGTCACCCCCACCCATGCTGCCCATCACGAGGCTGAGGTCGCACCCACATCCAACCTTGGTCCCTTCAGCACTGCCAAGAAAACCCAAACCCACCCAACCACTGTTCCACCGCCTCTGGCTACTTCCAAACACACAAGGCCAAAGGACGGCAAGGGAGACAAAGGGTGAAGCTTTCACCTTCCGAGGGGCACGCTGCATGCAGACAATCAGTGGCCAGTTCTCCATTGCTGGGCACTGAGGCCATTAAGGCAGTGCGTTCCCAACAGCACTGGGATGATCCATCCTCCTAACGACCACGGCGAGGCGGGGAAGAACCAGAAGTGGCTTGTGAATCACAGATTCAATCACATGCCGGGTAATTTTAAAGTTAAGTATATTTAATTGTATTGCAGTACTCCAAAACTTAGCAACCCATGAATGACAGAACTCCGCCGTCTTCCAGCACTGTCCCTGGGCTGACCTTGCCTCTGAGCAGGAAGGTAAAGTCCTGGACAGAAAGGGAAGCTCACGCCATATCCAGGTCTTTTGATTTTTTTTAAAAATTAAGTTTTCATGACAAAACTCATAATTGAAAAGCATTTCTCCTACAGTAGTAGAGAACTGTTAAATACATGAACGGGAGTGTATGAATGCGGGGGGCTGGAAGTGGCAACTGAGGTCACAATATTGACCAGGGAGAGCCACGCCCTCCAGAGAAACCGCCACCTAGACCTGGTTCCCCAAGCCAGGCCGCCGACCAGCAGGGTCATCCCACCACGCAGTGAGCACCGCTAGAAGCTCAAACGCTGAGCTTGCCCCTGCATCCCACAGGCCTGGGACCACGCCCAGCACATAACGGGCACACAAGCAGGGATGCACCTCGACTTTCGATGGGGCTACATCCTAATACACTCAGTGAAAGTGAAAAACATTGACCCTCAAAACACATTTAATACACCAAACGCCATGGGTCAGCCCAGCCTGCCTTAAATGCGCTCAGAACACTTGAATTAGCTACCGTTTGGCAGAATGAGCTAACACAAGCCGATCTGATGATAAGTGGCATCTCGCATCACTTCTTCGGTACTGTGCTGAGATGCAGAATGGCGGCATGGGTGCCTGCAGACAGTCCCCACGCATGGAGGCTGCTTTTACACCATCGGAAAGCTGGAAAACTCAAACGCTGAACCAGGGTAAGTTGGGGATCATCTGCTGCTGAGGACGAAATAACTGAGGACTTTTACTCAGCATGCATGCTCTTATGTATTCCTCCCCAGATACTGTGAGATCGGTGCTAACTTCACTTTCACAAAGAAGCCTGGTGGAAGGTGCACCGTTAGCGCAAGGTCACACGGCCACGTGTGGCCAAGTCAGAGCTGGCTCAGCCCCATCTTCTCAGACTCCAGAACCAGCACATCCCCTCCCCTGGCCAGTCACTGTCACCAGGTGCTGTGTACAAAGTAGACCTAATTCCATCTGTAACGGGAGAAAAGGAAGCTCCTCCTACTGCTGTCAGAAAAATTATCACCCAGTCTGCCTGACACACACAACTGCTTTCAAGATTAAGAATTTAACATTGACCACAAAAATGCCCATCACATTTAATGCAGTTATTCCAGCAAGTTCTCTTCACTAGTTGTCCTCCGATAATAAATCACAAAATGGCCCATGTGACTGTACCCCGAAGCCAGGGCGGTGGCGGCACGCTGGAATCAGCTGGGACACTGTCAGTCAAATCCCAGGGTGGAGCCAAAGACCAAGGCGGTACCGGCCAGGGTCAGGCCAGGCTTGAACGGCTTCCCCAAGACCACTGCAAGGAGTTTTCAATGCTCTATCAAGAGACTCACAAGATGCTTAGAACTTAAGCTATAGGGTTCAGAGGGGAATGGTGACAGAGTGTTTTGAAGGATTTTGGTCATGAATGGTATATAATTTTTTACAACAAGTCTTGCTCCAGTCATAAAAGACTTTATTCACCCACGCCATTCTGAGTCAGAACGGAACGCGCCTCCGCCTACAGCCTGGCGCTGCTCACGCATTTTCCTTGCCTTTCATCTGCATGCTAAGCTGTTCTAGAAGGCTTGGTCTCTTTTTAAATTTTGTAGAGGGTCCATATTATACAGCTCATTACAAGTGTTCCTAACTCTTAGACAATGACTCTGGAGTCAACGACGTGGCTAATGAAGTATAAAGCTTTAGCAACAAATCATTTACAAGTTCTGGATGCTGTGCTTCTAATGGAGGAAGTTTTTAATCATAAGCAAATGTAATCATTTATGTTAAGCAACCCATGGACCTGGTCAATGTAGCACAAACAGCCATTAAGCAAAAATTGTGACAATAAGGAAGGAACTGTAACATTGCAGACATAGCAGTTTGTGCCATTTGCAGCCTCCAATAAACCGTGTCTTGGTAAAACTGAACTGAGCTCTCTCCATGCATAATTACACGCTTGAGGGTGGACACCACGTCCTCACAGACAACTATGACCTCTGCCATCAGACAAGATTCCACCCTGACACCAAAACTGACAAAGTTATTAGAAGGGGAACGTGTAACATGTGGCGCGCTGTTTAACTTCTCTGGCTTCTACTTCCACACCTGAAGCAGCAGGTGTGACCACAGAAGACAGTGGCATGTGGCATAGAACAGAGAGGTTCCCGCAGCTTCGGCACCCCTCGTCTGGGGTCTCGTGCAGAATGGGCCCTGCTGGGGTGTGGAGGCTCCTTCCCGACCTCCGCATTCACCATCTCACCACCTGCAACCTGACCCACCCCTGTTGCTACCTGCCCCCACAAAGCTAATCCCAAGCGTCTTCCCCATCATGACACAACCAGACTCCACCTCTCTCTTGTAGAGAGAGTAGTAATTAATAATATAGTAAGGAAAGTTAGGTACGTTCTATTGATTAACAGTGACAATCGTAGTGCGTGACACTCCTGAATCTTTACAAACACTAGGCGCCAACTGGAGGTGGAGGGTGAAAGGGCACCTTCCCGGCCCATAAGGACAGCATGAAGGGCAGCACCCCGGCTCATCCCTTCCGATACAACACTGCTGGCTGGCAAAGGAACACACACACAAAATGCTATGTCCAGAAATCAGCTGTAGAGAACATGTCTGAAAGTTCCTGCTTCCTGAGAAATCCTCAGTATTCTGGGTTAGTCTCATATTTCGAAGCTTTCAGTGAAATTCAGCAGCAGCAACAGAGACAAAGAAAATGCAGGAACAGACTTTGGCCCGACAATATTGTGCTTTAATGGCCGAATGAAAATAATCTGTCAGCAGGCCACAATAAAAGATGTTCAGCTGATGAATGTGTCACCGGTTAACTGCTTAATAATTTATATATTTGTATTGAACTTTAACGCTGAATTGTCAGGGCACATAAATACTCAGATAATTCAATGTGAAATGTGTCAGTTCTGTGTACACAGTAGGCGCTCTGCCACAGTAACCAACAGAAGAAGAATGATGGGGAATGTGAAAGTAGGCTATGGTTTGTTTTGCAGAACAGGGTCAAAGTGCCTAGGTTTAGCCACGAATGCAGCATACGAAAGAGACTTAAAGAAACCTTACCAATATCTGTAGATGATCCATAGAGGAAATGCCCATTTATTCACCTGGAAATGCATTACCGCCTGGAGCTGTGTCTACCACACATTTCCACAATAATTTATCTATAAAATTAACAGGTGTTTTTCCTTTTTCAAAACAGTAATGCATATTTAATAACATTTTCTACATCACACACACACTTTCAAATAGCAGAGGTAAAGCAGCTCCCTGAATGATCTCCACATATATTTAAATGATCCTTGTTTTTATATGAAAACTTGCAGACCAGGCCCTGAAACTTTGCATTGCAAGGTTCACTGGTATTGGTCAAGAACGCCCTGTGCTCCCCCATCAGAATGATTAATGAAGGCACCTTTTTCACAGAATGTCAGACTCTGCCTTTTTAACAACTGACCTTTCATAGAATACTACTGAACTCATAATTCCACTTTTGTTCAGTTTCTTATTAGTGGAGTTAAAATTAATACTTATGGGAATGATGGCTAAGGTGATGCACAGTAAATCTTAGAGCACATCAACCTTCTATGCCGGCCATCCAAGGAATAGCGCCTGCATTTGTCTATTTTGTAGTATAAGTATTCTGCTAAAATTCTGTGTCCTTTCAAAAGACAAATTAGGGCAGTCTGCAGACCTCTTCTGAGAACAAAGATGTATATTT